GTGCATCAGATCCAAGGATGTTGCGTAGCAACCAGCCTAGTGGTGACCAGGATATGAGGAGTATGTTAGCAAGACCGACACCAGCAGAAAGGTTAGTTATTCAATCAATTCGATACAATTCTAAAATACCAATAAATAAAATTCATGAACAATATTTTGGTTTGTAGTACTGCTGCACCAAGTGATCCTAGATCTCGTCCTCCTGAGGTAGCCAGGAATGATCCACGATTAGCTAGAGGTAAGGGGGAAAAAATTATATGATAAATTGGTCCTTAATATGGATATTTTCGAATTTCTTTGCTGCCAAAATGTTTCCAAATTGAAAAAAAAATAGAAGTAGAAATTGCTATTCTGGATATATTTAGATGTTTCATGGGTAGCACTGCATGGTGTGGAGAGGGTTGTGAGTTTAAACCCTCACTGGATACCCTGATGTCATGCAGTAGTGATATCAATTTGCACCTGAAAATATAGATCATAATTATGTTCCAAGTAGAATAGGGTTTCCAGGCAGGCACTGCTATGTGAAATGGTAGCCAGGAATGATCCACGATTAGCCTAAGCAGCACTACCCATTATTAATATTACATCCTGATATAATGCAGTAGTGATATCAATTTTCACCTGAAAATGTAGATCATAATTATGTTACAAGTAAAATAGGCTTTCCAGGCAGGCACTGCTATGTGAAATGGCAATAGGAAATCTCCCATGCTATTCTTCCCTGAATTGGAGTTTAACTCAGCTCCTGGACCAGGCCTAAGCAGCACTACCCATTATTAATATTACATCCTGATATAATGCAGTAGTGATATCAATTTTCACCTGAAAATGTAGATCATAATTATGTTCCAAGTAAAATAGGCTTTCCAGGCAGGCACTGCTATGTGAAATGGCAATAGGAAATCTCCCATGCTATTCTTCCCTGAATTGGAGTTTAACTCAGCTCCTGGACCAGGCCTAAGCAGCACTACCTATTATTAATATTACATCCTGATATAATGCAGTAGTGATATCAATTTCCACCTGAAAATATAGATCATAATTATGTTCCAAGTAAAATAGGATTTCCAGGCAGGCACTGCTATGTGAAATGGCAATGGAAAATCTCCCATGCTATTCTTCCCTGAATTGGAGTTTAACTCAGCTCCTGGACCAGCCCTAAGCAGCACTATCCATTATTAATATTACATCCTGATATAATTCAGTAGTGATATCAATTTTCACCTGAAAATGTAGATCATAATTATGTTCCAAGTAAAATAGGGTTTCCAGGCAGGCACTGCTATGTGAAATGGCAATAGGAAATCTCCCATGCTATTCTTCCCTGAATTGGAGTTTAACACAGCTCCTGGACCAGGCTTTGGCAGCACTACCCATTATTAATATTATTATTATTATATAATTGTTTATTTTAAAGGTATCATGCCAACAAGACCTCCTCCAACAAGTATGGCACCACCTAGACCAGCTCCTGCTTCAAATGCTCCAACAACTGATCAGGACAAGGTAATAATGTTTATTATTATTTATTTAAAATATTTCTATCTATTACCAGAAAAATTATGCAAACAATATTCTTAACCCTTTCCACTCGCGAAATGCGAGATTTATATGTATTTTGCCTCGGAGCGGCGGCATCCGAGTGGAAAAGGTTAATGGGCAAAAACAATGATATATCTAAATCAAAATACTTACAAAAAGCGTATTTTTGAACTTTCTACTTACCCCTTTCACAGACATGTTTTTCCAATCTGGAATGTAGAAATCAATTAATGTTTAGCAATTGCATTTTTAATAAGGGGGCTCCTCTCGAATCATTTTATCTGTCTATTATCTCTATATTTCTTTTTATCTTTCTGCAGACTGCCCTGATCATGCAGGTCCTACAATTATCTGACGAGCAAATAGCATTACTACCGCCTGATCAAAGGTCTAGTATTTTGCTCCTGAAGGAACAAATTGCACGCTCTACTCAGAGATGAAGACTTATATTGATTGAATATCTTGTATGTTTCTCTAAATAAATATAATATTTGATTATGTTCTTCTTTCCACTATTACCTATTTTGAGGCTACTTTCTAAATGCGTGGAGTCCTTTGGACAATTAAGTCCTACTTCTGGTACCTATTATAGGACTTATACCTTCTAAATCTGAAGAGTTCTTCAAAAGATTAAGTCCTACTTCTTGTAGCATAATAGATACATTTATTTGTTATTGTTTTTACATAAATGTAAATGGCTATTACCTATTTGGGGCTACTTTCTAAATCTGAAGAGTTCTTCAAAAGATTAAGTCCTACTTCTTGTGGCTATTATATGTAATAAATTTATGTTTATTTGTTTTGTTATTTTGCATAAATGCAGGTGGCTATTACCTGTTTGGGGCTACTTTCTAAATCTGAAGAGTCCTTCCAAAAATTAAGTCCTACTTCTTGTAGCTATTAGTAATAAATTTATGTTTATTTGTTTTGTTATTTTGCATAAATGCAGGTGGCTATTATCTATTTGGGGCTACTTTCTAAATCTGAAGAGTCCTTCCAAAAATTAAGTCCTACTTCTTGTAGCTATTATATGTAATAAATTTATGTTTATTTGTTTTGTTTGCATAAATGCAGGTGGCTATTACCTATTCATGGCTACTTTCTAAATTTGAAGAGTCCTTCCTAAGTCCTACTTCTTGTAGCTACTACATGTAATAGATTTATGTTTATTCGGTATTCTGGTGAAATCCTGCATTATTCTGCTGTAGACTCAATATATTTTAATAAGTATTTATATAGGCCTTTCTTAGAATATTCATTTGCCTGTTTGCAGAAAACGTTTATATTTTAATTGGTTTATTCGCCAATATTGATAAATTGAAATTCTGATATTTATGAGACCAACGAGGACACACAGATATCAAATTCCTGCACTAATATTTTTTGTTCTGATGTAAATTATCTAATTCTCACACATTCCTCATTCGAGCTGGAGTTTTAAATCAGCTCAAATATATCATCATACAGTACTCCCAATTATTATGAATCAAAATAGATTTTTTTTGTATCGCTTTTAGAGAACACCCCTACCTCACTTTGTGCCGTTTTGTGAAACTTAATTCCTGCTAATTTTCACTAACTTAAGTTTACGTTTCATTTTGAAATTGCAGATTGGCATAAAGAAACTGCAAATCTTGTGTAACTAATTTTTAAATCTGATTATCCTCCTAACTTGGCTACAATTTCAACTGTACATACAATTTTTTAATGAAGATGACAGTGATGATTCAATCGAAAAATATGAAAAACAAATTTTAACATAACGTTAAACATTATAAACAATATGTATGATAAAGATTTTTTTATCATCATGGAAGCAAAAGTGGTTTTGAAGTTTGCTTACGAATATCAATTGCAATGAGAAAATTTATTTAGTGTTGAAAGAATAAGAGTTATCCAGCAAACATTGTGCCTTCTTTCTTTGCAAAAACTGACAACATCTAAAATAGGGAAACTAATTTGAGATAAGTGATTTCTTTCCTAGAATTTTGACAACCAGTTGGATTTCTAATAATATTTTTGTTTTTTTATTAATTCCTTTCCTAAAGCTTCAAAAGCCAATTGGATTTCTAATAATATTTTTGCTTCTTATTAATTCCTTTCCTGAAGCTTCAAAAGCCAGTTGGATTTCTAACAATATTTGAAATTGCTACTTAGGAACATGCTTATATAACTCTTTGCATTCGAATAAGTCGATAATTCTAAATAAGAAAACCTATAGATGGCTCTTTATGATTGAAAGCCTCTAACGTAGCAGAATCATCAAAATTAAGAACATTTGAAATACATTGTTGCAATGAGTATTAAATAAATAAGTTAATGGCGAGTCATCAAGATCAACCTATTGATTTAAAAAAAATCTATATGATCGTAAGAAACTTTTTTCTGAAGATTATACATTTGAAAATAGGAATAAAATAAATCCAATAACTCATTTCATATATAAGTTATTTATGCTTTCCTTTGTTTAAAATTAAGTAATTGAGAGTATAGAATAGCATGAACTACTCCTGAATTCAATTTCAACCTAGGTCAACAAGATATAAAGCAGTATAATATTAAAATCCACTTGAGGTTATAAAACTTAAATAAAATTTCAAGTGAAAATTGTCTTTTATGGGCAATACTTTTTTAATAAAAAACAAGAGAGGTTGTCTGCTAGGTTACCCTCTCCAAAAAAAAAATACTATGTTAGAATGTAAGAACCAAAGACATGTCACAGAACATGCAATTCTGATGGCTGTTAAAAAAAAATTTGGTGAAATATTGTTAGCTTCTGATATTTTTTCTGAGTACGTGTTCTTAATGAAAAACTTTGCTATTTAGAACCTTACCCTGATAGAAAACTTCAATATTTAGTTCAATACTTAACCAGGAAAAAAATAAACAATAATATAATGAATAGTCCAAAAGTCTGCTCTGACAGAAAATCTAAAGGCAAAAAAAGACAACTGTTTATTGTTTTTGGGGAAAAGCTATTCTGTCCTGCCCATTGGAAATTGTCTTAAAAAGTCTCACATACATTTAGCTTTAACTGAATTCATTTTTTAACTTCCCGTAGGGTAAGTTATAGTAATCGCAAAAAAATCGAAAATGAAAATTTTTATATATCTTTACGTTTCAGAGGTTTCTGAACATTTTGGCATACCTTAGAAAAAATGGATGTATGTGTGTGTGTGTGTGTGTGTGTGTATGTATGTATGTATGTATGTGTGTGTATGTATGTGCGGATACAAATTTTCGTCGACGATTTCGGGAACACGGATCAACCGATTTGAATAATTCAAAAAACATTCGATTCGTATTGATAAGGAGACGTGCTGATTAGTTTTTGGTGAAGGCAGGTCTAGCGGTTCCAAAGATACGGGGCAAAAAGTGCCAAAAACAGTACCTCCGTTTTTAAGAGAACGGAGCGTCCGATTTGAATAATTCAAAAAACATTTTACTTGTATTGACAAGATGTAGAAGTGATCAAATTTTCATGAAGGCAGGCCTAGCGGTTTCGGAGATCTAATGAAAAAAGTAAAAAAAAATGCCATTCGGCGGTTAAAAATGATCATTAGACATATGCACATCAAATTGTCAGATATTTTATAGATATTTTTACAATAAGTATAAATTTTTTTTACATTTCTATGGGTTCCGTACCAATGCTTATGCGTTAGACGGCGGCGCGGCACCTGCGAGCTTTGACATTTCGTCTCTATGCAGTTCAAGCAGTGCGATTGCTTTGAAAAAAAGTTCAGAATTTTCAAAATATGTCAAAATGAAGAAAACATTTTTTTTTCAAAAAAAATTTTTTGTTTTCAAAAAAAAAAATTTTTCTCAAAAAAAAATTTTTTTTTCAAATAAAATTTTTTTTTTTTCAAAAAAACGGTATTTTTTTGTCAAATTTATAGTTTCTCAAAAATCTATTTTTTTCGAAGTAAAATTTTTTCAAAAATGTTAATCGTTTTTAAAAAAATAATAATTTTTGGTACGGGAAGTTCCAGCAATTTGCCTTAAGGCACGATGCCCTAATTGCCTTAAGACAGAATTCCACTTACAGCTAGTTTTTTTTTTAAATTTTAAATCTATGTTAGAAAATTTTATATAGTTTTTGAGATGTCTACTTTGTACCATTTTTGTTTTAAAAAAAAAATGGTATACTTTTATCCTGAGACCTACCTATTATCTTAATTCACTTTGCACCGATTAAATTAGCTTCATTTTTTTTTTGAACCTACAAACGACGCAAAATGAGGTATGGGTGTTCCAGAATTGATCTACTACAGCCTTTCAAGAGTTAAAACCTAGATATAATTCTGAGACTACATATCTAAATTATAATTATGCTTCTGCTTTACATTATCAATTTTTTAAGCAGTTTCTTGTATTAAAAAAAAAAAAGAAAACGAAAATAAAATCCGCAAAAACCTTAAAACACATTATAATTAAACTATTTTTTAATAAATTTGTTATAAACTGTAATTATTAAAAATGATTTTATTATGTGATTATTAAAATACGTTGAAAAAAAATGTAACTAACTACATTACCTCAAAAAAAAAACCTTGTCAATAAAATATTTACTCTCCTAGCTTTAATCTAATGGTTTTAATATATATTTTATTATTTATCTATCATTTGTCCCTTAAACCTAAATAATTTTAAAACTAACATAACTAATAAGAAGCCTTTTATTATCGGGTCAAGTTGTTTTATTATATAATGTAATTAGTCTTATCCAATGTAAAATACAAAAAAAACATGACCTGTCTTCTTACACGGTTACAAGTAAAACGGAACTTACACTAAACACTTGTCAATACCTAAATATATATATAGTAAGTAAAACATATAATTACTCTAATTCCTATAGTAATATAATATTTATAAATTATTATTATAATTAAATTTTACGTCAGTTTTGCAATCATTCAACTCCTATGTATGTATTAATCCAACGACCGGCAGAAATTAACTCCTGATTTTCGTTTCGACTATTTTCTACCCCTAACTGTTGAAACCTATAAACCAATAGAAAAATATATCATTAGATTGACTCTAGGGCTTCATTTTTAGCCTAGCCTCTTTGTTTTTGTTTTGTTTACCATGCTAAAAAGTCACTAACGACCTGACTCAATCGAGAAAACACATTTTTAGCAAGGTACGGGCCAAAACTACGACAACACCTATTAATAATTAACTAGTACAGATAAGTGCTTAAATTTTTAGGCGTTAATTTTGTTTACTGAAGATATTTAAAAGCCTATATAAAGATTTTTTTTTAGTCACCTACATGCCTGAACAAAAAATAGAAGAAATCAAAGATGCTGAAAAAAAAATTAAAGAAATGTTGTGCATTAATTTAGAAAAAGCAAGCTGAAATGGATAAAATTAATGGTGATAGATATTGAGGATGAAAAAGGAAGAATCCTCAATATCTATCTAGAACAAA